CTATTTTATTAAAGTTTTACACATATGTTGTGGTTAGTAAAATTAACCTTGCCTGCTCTCCCTTTAAAAAAATAAGTTAAGGGCCAGCTCTATGGTGCAGAAGTGGCATGCTGTTCCAGAGAAGCCGGATCCCACGTGGCAACTGTAGTTCGAATTCCGGCCCAACCAGCTTGTAACGATGAGCAGGTGCTTGAGAGGCCTAGATGGGACCTGGGGGGAGAACTGGAGGAAGGGGACCGTGGCGTGGTCAGACCCTGGGGAACATGCTCTCTCATGAATGTGATAATGAAAAAGAAGGGCTAGCCCCGCAGTACGGTGCTCAAGTGTTACACATCGGGAGGTAGACACTGCATGACCAACCGTGATTCGAACCCTGATGCCATGGTTTGAAAAACATCCTTGGTAAATGTGTACATCCCAAACTCTGACCAGAAGGAAAAATGGAGGAAAAAAAAGGCGCTGAGGAGGCGCTGGCTTGCTGCTTAGTGAGCACATACAGCTACAACAACAAGTAAGAACTTGGGACCAGCAGTTAGTGTAATGGCTATGTCGCTGGACTCCCACGTAGTCGACCGCGGTTCGCGTCCCGGACCCGGTGGCTTAAAACCCACGCCGGGCACGTGTGCGTGCGTGCCCAAGATCCCGAGAGGAGAATGGAGGAGAAGGGACTGCGGCGTGACCATCCCCCCTGGGGGGTGATTCCTCGCTTTCTGTCTCTATGTCTCTGTCTGTCTGGCGAGCGCACGCGCCCTATAGCAAAAACCTCTCCAAAAAAAAAAAAAGTAAAAAAAAAAAAAAACTTAAAAAAGTAGGTTAACAGAGTAATTAAACTATAAACACAATGTCAATTGTTTATGCTAAATAATCATAATTCCAAGAATTTTAAAAAGCAAAACATTATTAACTATAGGATGACAAATATCCTGACTTCCAAGATACGAAACTAATTCAACATGATTCGGGAAGATGAAAAAAACACTATGTTAAATGTATAGTAAGATTTTGTTTTAATTTGACAAGAAACATATCCATAGAATTTCATTTTCATATTACTTTCTTCTTATTTCAATCAAAGTTTGAGACAAAAACTTTATCATATAAAGATTCTGAATAGTTTTTGGCTGTAAAGCTTCTGAACATGTCCAAAGCTGGTGAAATCATACAGCTTTCTTTGAACCAGTTTTTCCCTGATAACCTAAAGTACTGTTAGAACAGGGAGAATTCAGAAGCTCCTCCAAAGAGACTGGCTTCATTTACCTTTTTCTTTTTTTTCCTCTTCTCTCTCTCCTTTTTTTTTTTTTTTTTTTTGCTAGAGGGCATGTGTGCTCACCAGAAAGAGAAAGAAGAAAGCATCCCCCATAGGCCCATGGGTAATGGTCATGCCACAGTCCCTTCTTCTCCAGCTCCCCCTCCTTTAAGGATTTTAGGCATGTACACACTTGCACCCAGTGTTTCCCAAGCCACCGGGTTTAGGACCCAGAACAAGCAGTTGGCCATGTGGGATCTGGCTGCCTGAATTACCAAGCCACCCAGCCCTTATCAATATTTCTTATTTGGTCAAATTCCTAACTTCTTTTCCCTGAGTAAACTTCAGACGACTGTACATTGCCTCCTTTGACATCAGCCACACACTGCACTTGGGTTTTTAATCCTCCAGGATGCACGACCGAATCACACCCTCCTCGTCCTGGGCTTTATGATCAATTCCAAGATGGCTGACATTTCCTGTACCTTAAATTAACTGCAATGTCTGCTGTGTCACTGGCAACCCGTCTGCACTAGTCCCAGTGCTGCTGTGAAGCACGGCTCAGTCTGTGGGTGGGTGGGCATGCTCCCTTCCTAGGGCCTACGCAGCACCCGATCGCTGGTTATACACGGAGAACACAAAGGTGGTTATCAGCAAGTGACAGGGGCTGGTTTCACGTTAACAAAGCTGACTCTACGATATTTTAACTAGGGACTCAAATTTAAGCTGAAATTCGATGGTTTGTGGTTCTCAGTGACTACTACTCAACTAAGGTCACAGAGGGTGGCGAGATGCCTTCTCCATTGTGTCAGGAACGAACAGCCACGTCACAACTCACTCCCCCCGGAGAGAGCTGGGTGAGGTGGTGATGATGGGAACTAGAAGCACCCCTGTTTCAGAACTGCTGACCTCGGAACAAATGCAGGTCCTAGAGTTTAGGGAATAGGGTACACTTCACCTTAATACTGGTTGTTTCTACGGAGAATAAGACAAGAATGAAGAACCATTTTAGAAACTTGGTTACTTACATACACATTAAAAAGAAATACACACACACATATATGTATATATTAAAAGTCACACTATCTAGAAAAATAAGAATGGTTAAATTACAACATACTCAGTTAATAGGATATTCTGTACTATTTAAAAATGACAAAGATACAACGAGGCGCCAGCAGGTGGCATGGCAGTTAAGGGTTCTGGATTCCCACATGGCTGACTGTGGTGAGTCTCGGATCTGGTGGCTTGCTTTCTCACTTTCCCCTTCTCTCTCTATCTCTCTCTGGTGAAATAGAAAAAATAATAACAAGTGAAATTAAATAAGTGAATAATTTTAAAAAAATTAATGATAACCAGCAGGTGGTATAGTGGCTAGGGTGCTGGATTCCCACAAGGCCAACCGTGGTTCAAATCCCAGATCTGGCAGCTTGCTTTCTCACTCCCCGCCAGCACCCAAGCCTCCATCTCTCTCTGGTGAATACACATGCCCATTTCGCAAATTAAAATAATAATGTATAAAATAAAACAATTACTTTTAGAAAAGAGAATAGAAGGAAATACACCTACAGGGAAGGGTGTTTGATAAAGAAGGAAAGTAGAGTAATAGGTTCTATGTATTCCTTGACTGGCCCATGTAAGCATGTCATCATATTAAGTTATATTCATAGTATATTTATAATTGAATGAAAAATTACATATTCATGAGATTTGCCTAGAATATTGTTACACAGTCTTTATAATCATTATGTAAAAACTGTGCTGGGGAACAGCAGTTAGTGTAATGGCTGTGTCGCTGGACTCCCATGTAGTCGACCGTGGTTTGAGTCCTGGACCTGGCAGCTTAAACTCATGCTAAGTGCGTGTGGGGGCG